TACTGTGATCCAAAGATCAGGAGAGGTGTTAGATAGGTCTCGATCCTCACCTTCAAATAGAGCGTACATCGGCGCCCATATCGGTGTTATCCATGTAAAATTCTGGACCTTCATCTCCATGCAGAATGGAAAATGCTTCCTGTAAAAAAACATAATCAACTGTCGTCCTATATGCTTTCGTCGATCCCTCCCTTCCTGTCGTAAACAAACCGACACCTTTTACAATGGAGCTAACATCAGTGAGGTCGAATATAAACATGGATTTATAGTCCTTCACACAGTTGCAGGATCTTCTTCGAGATCAAAGTAGCCAGACAGCAAGGTTCTGAACAGGCGTTGACCTAACATCTCGTTGGAAGAACGACGTCTCCCCCATGCAGCAAGAACTGCACTAGCTCAATTGAGATCAGGATATATCTGAGTGCTAAACAGTTACTTATCAACAGTTACTTGTTGATAAATTTATTAAGATTTATTCTATTATATAACTTTTTAATTTTATTAGACAAAAGTTTTGTTCTAGCAAAAATTGTAATGTTTTTGGAGGAGCTATTTTTTTTAGTTTTTATAAAGGTTTTATAAGTATGGAATGAATAATTTAGATTCCACCCATTTCACGGTAAAGGTCTAAGTGCTGAGAATCTTATTTTAGTAATCAAGAACATTCGAAACTATTTGGTTTAACAATTAAGAGAGATAATTCCGACTGATAAAGTGAGTGTGACTGGTATTAAAAAAACGGGATAAGGATAAATAAAGAAATGGATTACATCTTATCAAAGTAGAGTGCGAAATACTGGCGGCTAATGCTTCCATTGAGAGAACTGAATGCTAAAAGAAAAAATAGGATACTAGCCATTAAAACAAGTTCATATTTCCATCAGAACACAAAGATTGAGCGTTGGAGCCACAACCTGTCCCTTAACAGAAAATAAAAACGGAAATTAACCAATACATTGAAGTGACTAAAATTAAAAAATAAACAACAACAAAAACTGCGACTTGGAACTAAAAATGGAAAATATTCTAAATCTAAAATAGTATGTATGATCTTATTCTAAAATTTAATGAAAAAACTGTGAATATAAATTTTATATAAATTTACAGGATAATTCTGGCAACTACCCTTCAGCTCATCTCATCACAGTCTATCTATTGCAAAATGTTTTGAAAAACATTTCGTATTCTGGCACCTGTGTTTTGAAAACAGAAAAGAAAGCACATTTCTGTCAGCTGTAAATCTTTTAAGAATTAACAAAAAGAAATAAAATCAACGGTGTGATTATAAATAAGTTATGTGGATGACATGACCATTAAAGATGACATAACGAAAAATCTTTAATAATTAGTTACAAAAATATACAAACACAGCGAGAAATACAGATGTAATATTACCATACACAACACAAAATTTAGGATTGCAATTAAAATGGATGCTCACATAAAAATGCAAGATTATTCATTAACAATATTAGCATTGAAAAAGCTAACAAATACAAATGTCTAAGTTGCTGGGTAAATGCTAAATTATATTTCTAGTGTGGTCTTGCTACCGAACCGTAATAGCAAAAGCAGAGATTTTAGATAAATTGACGTTTATTTACCACATTGAATACAATAAAAAAGACACTTAAGATGGGAGTCAAAAGTGAGGTGAAATATTTTGTTGGTGATAAGTAAATGCTTCTATAACCAGAAAATGAGGCTACATGGAAGAAATATGTGTTTAAATTGTTGCACAATGTTTTAGGGTCCTGGCTCGTAGGTAGAGTTTTGCAATTGAATTGTGTTAGCTTGGTATAAGAAAGAGAGGAATTATATGTATAAAGTTCTAATATAATCCATATTCTATCATTTTGGAAGTCGCAATTGTCTAACTGTTCCTTTTATATTTACGGCGATATTCATCCACTATTTTGTGAATATTCCTGTACAGGGCAGATATGCGAGGATTGACTGCGCTTGATCCACGAAAATTATGGCGTATAGTGTATGGATCGGAAATGTACTCTTTTTTTTAGAACAAAATTACTATTAGAGAAGCATATGGCCCCTATCAGGATGCAAATCTGTCTTAGATAGATATAAGATCTATTTGAAAAAGAAAATGTAAGATTCATAAAAGCGCATCCTCTCCGATGAGCGGAGGATGTTTTCAGAATAGAAAAAATGAAATAATCATAAGGCGTATGTTTCTCGTTTTGAAGATTTAAATTCACTTAATGTTTTGTGTTTCAGCATGTTAACAGCCATCTTCATTTCCACAAAAAAAACCCAAAGAACTTTTCGAATAACTTTTTAATTAAACAGAGATTGGTAGATGGAGTCTACTGAGATGTATGTATATAAAAATATTTTTTATCCTGTTTTGATACAACAACTGAATTGGATATATTTATGTGAAATTATGACATATCAAATGATTGTTTCTGTAGATCCAGACGTCCAGCATTCACGCCATCCCTTTGGCGGTCGACTGGTTAATCTCGCGACTATTGGTTTCTCTGCCATTGCAATCTTGGCCAGGCGATGATTTTCCATTCTTTAAACATGTAGATTCCACTACTTCTGTCTCCGACTATTCTATTTAATTATGTGCAGTACTTCGTAGATTCACCTAATGTTGTTATTGCGAATTCGATCCCGACGAGTGAAGCCAGCTATCGAGCGCAGAGTGTGGATTTTAGTTTTGAATAACATTTTCAGTTGTTTTCAGTAGTCGGCTTTTGTCTTAATGGCATAGTCGATATAGATCTAACGCACGTTTTAAATATTTTTCCTCTTATGCTTATACGAAAGAAATATTCGTCATATAGTATCTCTAAGACAACATGCTACACGAGCGACTTTGTTTGGGTGGTAGATTCAGCACTTAGGACCTTTGATGATGTTATTTTAGCTCCAAGGTAGTTAAATTCTATGACCTGCTCTGTAGGAATTTCGTACACTGCAAGTTTGCATCAAAGAGGCTGTTTCGGATTTTTAGGGACTTTGTTTTCGAGGTGGATATTTTTTTATATTATATTTGTTTGTTTGCAGTTTGTTTTTATTGCCTGAAAGTAATACGACATCGTCTGCATAAACTATTTTAATTTTATTTCTTAGTTTGTACCCTCTGACCACCCCTTTCACCTCTGCAATTCATAATACCTAAGATTGAACAAAATAGGGCTTAAACTTAAACAGTTACTACGTGTTTCAAGAGAACTCTATCGAAGGCTTTAGTATTGTCGACAAAACATACCAATAAAAATATTTAAGATTTATGTAAATTACGTTTACTACAGGGTTAGACGATTGAAGTGTTACCAACTATACACATGTACATCTGTCAAACTGATTTTGCCAACGATAACGCTGATTAAGCATTTGCGTCTGAATGGAATTCAAACGTAATAGTGTGATAGCGATATATTTGGGTTAAGCACTTAAAAGTGAATAAAATGTTTGCGTATCTTATCATATATTTATAATAGCACAGACAGCGTCGCCAAACACAGGACGCTTGTAGACGTAAAAAACAGCAACACCACCTAAATTGGTTCGGAAAGTAAAGGCTCGATTTGCACGAAATCAACGTCGTAGTGGTAATCTAATGTTAAAGAACTGAAAATATTTCAGCGAGGCATCCGACACACATATCAAAATGAGCTCAAATTAAAGCCTTCCAAGTTCCATAAGGTACATGATCTTTTACCAAAGCAACAAAAAGTGAAACACATGGTTGTAGACCATGGACGGTCCCACAAGACTAGGTACCGTCTCATAAAGCTCGTGTGAACCAATAATTGTTAAAAAATCAGGTTCCACACTTGATTTCGGTCACACAATGGCTTTCGAATTCTGAGCCAATTTGGAAAGCAAGGTGAGGACTAAAATATTTGCCAGTATGGATTTTGAAATTTGAATTATTTTCACAAATTATTATACATTGTGACCGAAAAGTTTCCGGAAATAAATAAATAAAACGCAAAATTCTTAATCTTCATCAATATTTATTTTATCTCCTTCAAAATATGCTCCATTAGAAGCGATACACAAATGCCAACGTTTCTCCAATCATCAAAACTTTTTTATAGGCGCTTTCCGGTATGGCTTTGAGTTCCCTCTGCGAATTCTGTTTTACGTCTTCTATGGATTCAAAACGCGTTCCTCTGAGTGGTAATTTGAGGTTGGGAAACAGGAAAAAGTCACACGGTGCAAGATCAGGTGAATACGGTGGCTGTTCGATGGTATTTATTGAATGTTTGGCCTTAAAATCGTTGATAATGTTGAACAAATTGAGGTGAATCGGAACAAGCCGGGCGTTGACACGTCGCATACACAAATTGTCCACCAAAATCAAACGAGCCATCTCACGACCGATGCCTAGCTCTCGTGCTATCTCTCTAACACTCACATGAGGATTTTTGAACACGATTTCCTTTGCCTTTTCAATGTTTTCGTCGGTGGTAGAGGTCGAAGGTCGTCCAGAACGCGGCATGTCTTCGACGGTCGTACGACAGTCCTGAAAGGCTTTGTACCACTCATAAACTTGAGTTTTCGATAAAACTGATTCCCCATAAGCCTTTTGTAGCATTCGCAACGATTCTGCACACGAAATTTCGTTCGAAAAACAAAATTTGATGCAAACTCTTTGTTCAATATTTTTTTCCATTGTTTTTTTCGCAACGCACTACTGAGGTGAACTGGTTTCAACAGCTGCCGTAAACGAACTGTCTGACAGAATCGCGCTCATTTTTTGCATAGTAATTAAGGTAAAGTTGCTTGCAAACTACATAAACTTAAAATATCGAAAAATATACAGCGCGCGAATTTTAAATGAGAATTTCCGAAAGCTTTTCGGTCACAATGTAATTTCAATCAATAAAGAATTATTTCACACAAAAAAGATATAATCGCTTGAAAGGTAACACTTCAATCGCCCTATAACCCTATATAATTTTTAAAAGTTGGATTCCATTAAACATTTAACAATTTTATGTATTTTAAAATTTTAGATGAAAATGAACAAATAGTTGAGGAGCTGCAATCCCAAGTACAGAATTACGAAGTGAAATTAAGAGACTGTAATCAAAATATTGACGAACTGCGAAATCAGTTAGACAAAGTTACTCAAGAACGCCTACAATTAAATGAGTCTATTTGTTCCTATGAAAAAGATCTTGCTACATTACGTATTGCAAAAAATTCAATTGATGAACCTCGAGATTCATTGCAAACTTTCATTGAACGTCAAAACTCAGATTTGGCTGCTGTAAACGCGAAATGTGAAGCTTTAGCATATGTGGAAGAAATTAAAAGTAAAGAAGTTGTTTATGACTCTAAAGAGAAACACATTGAACAGGAACGTACAATGCTAAATAATAGGATAAAAACTTTAAATGACGAGTTAAGTAGGACCAGTTTAGAATTACACAATATTCAAAGTAAAACTACAACTGAAACTTTACTTATTGAAACCCGCTTGAATAAAAAAACGGAAGAATTAAAAATTGTTCAGGATCAATGTGAACAATATAAGCAAATGATTGCCACACTAACTCAAAATATTCAAGATTTAAATACAAAAATATTAAAACAAAATGAAGAAACCAGTAAGATGATGGAATTTTATAAAAAAGAGTTAGAAGCAAAAACAAAATTAGCTGATTTGTATAAAAGTGTTTCGGACGATTCAAATGTTGAAAAGAATGAGTTAAAAAACGCTGTAACGGACTTAAGACAAATGCTGATTGATGCAAGTGATCAATGTGGTGAATTGAAAACAAAATTCAAAGTGACTGTATTCAAACTGGATCAATTAAAAGAGGACAAGGATAAGGTCATTGAATCATTAAAAATCCAATTAAAACATGCAAACGAACTTATGAAACAAAAAGCAGATGACGATGTTGACCATGCAATTTCAAAAATTGCCCCATCTGCTGCTGTTGCTAGTCGACTTATTAGAAGTGATATATCGCTTACCGAATTATACTCTCTTTATGAAAATACGTCTGAAGATTTAGAAAAGCAGAAACGCGAAAACTCTCGTCTACAGTTAGAACTTAATAATATTGTACAAGACTTAAATCGTAAAAAGGGCGAAATGGAAGAGATTATCACTAGTCAGAATAATCAAATAAAACGTAAAGTTAATGATTTAAGCCGGCAAGTGTGTTACCTATTGAAAGAACTAGAACATTTGCGAATGGGTATTACTAACAATGGTCCATCAATAATTTGTGGAGGTCTCTCAACTACAGATGATGTTATAACTAAAAAACTTGTTACATTTAACAGTATAACTGAATTACACGAAAATAATCAGAAGTTATTAATTCTGGTGCGAGATTTAAGTACAAAATTAGAGGAATCGGAAAATGTGCGACTAGAAATTAACGAATCATATTATAAGGAAAAAATAGATAATTACACAGCGAAAATTCAAAGCATGCAAGAAACCATAAATCAACAGGCGAACACGATTTCCACATTATTAGAAAAAACTGAACGATATAAAAAAATGTACTTTAAATCGCAGAAAGAATTTGAAATATCTGCTGAAGAAAATTTTAGTGACTTAGAAGATGGAAATTATGACAGCATTATAGCAAAGCACGAACAGAACCTGCAACACATAAAAGATGAACTTACAAAAACTAAAAAGCGATATTCATCAGCTGAAACAGAAATGAAACTTTTGCGCAATAAAAATAATTCGTTAAAAAATACTATCACTCGATTACAATCGGAAAAAGAAATTTTTTATCGTGATCAACAAAATCAAAATCTTTTACTTAATAATATAGAACTTATTAAAACGAATTTAGAACGTTCTGAAATGGTAGGTCGGGCAGGGATGGAACAGCGTTTAGATGATACTGTACGGAAACTTTCTGCACAACGTCGACCGTTTCAAGAAGAAGAAGATCGCTTCCGTGAAATGATCAATAGTTATAAACGACAGACAGATAAAGCGAAAATGTGTATGGAGGAAGAAAAGCAGCGAGGAGAAAAATTACGCACTTATATTGTTTCACTACGAGAAGAAATAGCTATAAAATCAAATTCAATTGATGACCTCAGCAAAAAATTACAAGAAAGCTTAACGCCGTCAAGTAATGATAATCCTATTACAGTAGCAAATAAAAAAGTGAGAGAATTAGAAATAAGATGTGAAGAAGCTAAAATTGAAATAAATTCACTTCAAACCGAATTAACTAATTCGCGCGCACATACAGAACAACTATTTAAAATGTCACAAAACGCGGAAGCAGAAGTTACAAAATTACACGAAATACATTCAGTTTATTGTACTAAAGCAGAAAAAGAAATTGCAGAGTTAAAGGGTTCTGAACTCGATTTAAAGACGAAAATCACTGAACTTGAATCAGAAATACAGCTGTCAACAATTCCGGAAAATCCAACAACATCTGGTATTGAACAACTAACTAAGGTAAAAATAAAAATAAAAATGACAAGTAGAGTTATATGATATTCGTATGATAGTCATATAGTAGTTTTAACCATTTGTTAAGTATACAATTTAAAACTATACACAATATTTAAATATGGTAAATGTTGGTGATAGTTTTTCTACCGTCTCTTTTAAATGCTAATTAAGTAAATTAGCATATTTGTACTACTATAATAATTTGTTGTGTTATATAATTTAACTGTTTAGTTGATTTAAATAATGGTATGTTGGATATATATTCCTACGCTATAAGATTAAGTAAAATCGTAAAAAGACAGGCAATCACAATTTGATAAGTATCTGGCGTTGCGAGAGTTCATAATAGTACATTCACACTATCTCATTTAGGCGGCTTTGCTCATTATAATCACTAATGAACATGATTTACAATAAATCAGCTCATTTTAGATCAAAAATGGTGAATGCAAACCTTAAAAAATAAATTTACCGCAAGAGAAATGACCAAAATTTGAAGTATGTATGATATATTTTTAAATATAAAATGTAACTCAAAAATAGCTGAGCTGTAAACATGTACATTGAAAAAGTGAGTATTAAATAAAATCTGTTTTTATTAATTGAATATGAAATTGATATATAAAATGTATATAAATGATTTAATATATCAATTATATATTTAATTTTTTAGTGTGATATATTATTAAGTGAAGTTTGTTTATTTCAGATGAATCCATATTAATAGTAAAAAGAAGAGCGTACTAGTATTTAATAAAATTTTTTGAATTCAAAAACTAACGTGCAATAGATATTTAAATAATTAATTTTAGATTTAGTTAAATCAAATATTTTCAGACACAAAAAATAAAAAGAAGCAGAAATGCGTGGTCGGAAAGTATAGAGAGACACTTTTTGGAATTATGAGAGGAAAAACTTCCACAATTACGGGAATTCATGGTCACTTCGTTAGAGGTGCAAACGAAGGTCCACAACTTTACACAAAGGTTTAAGTAATTATTTCATAATTGAAATGGAAAATTACAATAATAATTTGTGTATTGAAACATGCACTAAAGACTTGAAAGTAATTTTGTTAATTTTTTTTTATTTATTTTTATTAAGTTGCTGCTAATCACTTTAATTTGCTTGTTTTCTAGACAATTTGCCCATACATAACATTACAAAATTAGTATTCCAAAGTATTGCAGGTGAGTTTTCACAAATTTGTTTGACTTCTTCAAAATAATGAATGTGTTTATAAATCAAATCTGGGTCCGTCATCAAATTATGCTTCGTTGCTGTCGCCATGCTCATCTCCA